GCACTTGCCAGATTCGCAGTTCTGATGGCGCTGCTCGGTAATCTCGAGGTGTCCATCGATACACTTCTTGCCGTTTGGCAGTTGAACATTNGGACGTGTTCAGCGTTGGTAACTTCCAATCTTGGCTGTCATTAAGAGCATACTTGGTTGTAGTCCTTTATTAGCCGTAAGTAAGCGTGATAACATGACTGTTAGAACACTTTCTACGTGACATAAGTGGAATAATTTCACTATGGGATAAAGTCAGTACTGAAATGGTCAAACAGTTTACTGAATTGCGGTCAAGATTTCGGGTTCGGGTAATTCGGCGGTTGCCACCATTTCTTCCGGCAATGATACAAGTTCCTGAAAAAAGCAGTCTTCATTGATTAGAAACGTCTCACAAAACCTCCCTGTCCCGCGAATCCCACAGTTACTGAGCTAACGCGCTCTGTTTAGCTGCGAACTGACGGTACTCGAGAAGAACTCGTCCGAAGTAGGCGGGGTCTGCTGCACGCGACACCAACCCTATTTATGCGCTAAGTATCACATTATTGTGGAGTTTGCTAGCTACTTAGGCTTTTTCCTGTAGAATATATGTGTCCCGGGATTTTAACTTTGCCAGAATTGTCCGAATCTCAAATGCGTCGGGGAAGATATGTACGCCAACGAGACGGCGCCGCGCTTGTCGTCTCCGACACACCACGTGGCGAACAGAGCGACGGCCGAAAGTCGTCGCGTTAGTTGGTGTGCTGGCATACGCGGCGTGACTCGGGTGCGACACCTCCTTGAGCAGTACTTGTATGGCAGGCAACGGGTGACCTTACCAGTTGAGGGATGCCACCTGCAGGTGCAGGAACTGACGATGGCATCACAGCACAAGGTGAACTTTGTCGTCTTTCTGCCATTCGTATCGCACTTGCCAGATTCGCAGTTCTGATGGCGCTGCTCGGATGTTTCGAAGTGGCCATCGATACACTTCTTGCCGTTTGGCAGTTGAACATTACGGGCTGTGCAGGAACATCTTGGTGGCAGTTTGCTGAAAATGGAAAATTCCATCCAATATATCATATCGGCATTTAGGAGAGACGTCCCTGACCGTCTTACCATTTTTTACGTTTCGTGTGGGCGGCGCTGACTGCTTTTCGGGACTATGTTCGGAGACCTCCTGAAGCGTACAAATGAGCAGGTTCAACGACAATTGAAGCGTCTGTACCTCTTTTTTAGTACAGTAGTGATAGAGAACTGCACCGGCTATAATACCACTAGCAAAAGCCAACATTAGCAAGTAATTCGAGTGAGCAAAGAATGAAAATGAAGATAACCACTTTGATTCTCAGTATTTATACCTAATCTGCTGTTATCATTGAAATTGACAGAGCAAACAGCAATTTAGAAGTTGTGGTCTCTGGCAATATCATTATTGTTCTTCATGATGCTCTCGATGTGTCACATATTAGTTGGAGACGGGTCAGGAGGTGTCGCTTGAAACGAGGTCATCACGTTCAAACGGGGCGTGCAACATCGTTGTGGTTGCCGCATAGAATCACCTCGTACGGCGGTTTCGGCGGTTGTCGAAAGGTCCGAAGTGTGAGCCGAACTCTTTACGTGGCTAGCGACCGAGTTCCTAAGCATTGGCTGTGAAATCCTTCCGTGGAAAGCTTAGATACTCCATCAGGATTCACCGGCCTTAAAATCTATTCTCTTTCTAGACCATGCTTTGACTTGCCCTAATCATTAGAGAGGCGATGACAAAACATACTCCCTTTATTCCGCTCTACCTATATTGTTCCTTTTTGCCGTGGCCGATGCAACTGCAAAAAACAGCCGAATGTGAGAACGTAAATGAACTGGTGGCTCGGAGCCGAAATATCGTCTCATTCACGGCTGACAAATGTCAAAGTTTTATAGAACAATTGTGTGAGGAATTTTTGGGATTGTCGCATGACCCTGTTTCATAGTCGGCAATCGCCTTGGTGCTTTCTGAGGGTAAGAAAGTGGTCGTCAATAGTTGCCACCAATGCGTGAAAGTGTTTCTGGTAGAATGATCCCCTTTCTTTGCAGAAAATAATCTTTTTTGGTGTATCATTAAGGCTAATACAGTAGTATTCAATGAATACTGTACTACTGTATTGTATTGTATACTGTATTGCCTTGGAGGTGATTAACCATTGGAAAGAAATTGCTCATAGTCGTCAATCGCCAATCACTTCCTAATAATTCCCCCATAAGCAAAAATGCCAGCTCGTGGTTGTCCAAAAATGGAAATCTGCCGACTGCAGAATAGGGTTAGCTTTACTTCCGGTTCTAACTCTAGAGGCACAGTTTACGGTACTTTTGAGGTGCCCCTTTTTAGTCAAAAAGCGGAAGTATAGTTTGGGAATAGTTCATCGGTAGTGAAAAAGGAAGTAAATCCGCCGATTTCGAGAAAATAAGGCGATCAAAAAAAAAAAAAAAGAAAATAGAGCTTAGACGAGATCACCGTGACGCAAATAACATGGACGAGATATTCGCACGAGATTTCAGTTTTTGCAATTGTGCAAAGAGCTGACAAGAACTGTACAGAACAGCCTTCCTGTTGTCGCTATGGGTCACGACAAGTTGTTTGAACGTTCTAGGATTCCCTCGTGATTGGTGCAGCCTTTACGGTGTCGGTGTAACTCGTCCGAGGATACACAAGGTGTAATATTTGAGCCTTTATAACGCCCTATCTAGGCCGTTTTCCGGCTTCACAGCACCACATATGGTATACGATTGGGCCACGAAATTATCCTAGGGGGATATCTCTTAAACCCTTTTTATCCTGAACTGTGCGTTAAATTACTTGAGCTATGGTAGAATTGAGGTGGGTCACGGACATTTTTCTGGTCAACTCAAAAGTTAGATGGTGAAGAGAAGGCTGTTCGGATGGAGCAATGCCGAAGGACATGCATGAATCGTCGTTTTTCGATGAGCATCGAACAGCAGCGATCGATAAGCATTTGTGGTTCATGTGATTGGTTCTCGTTCATCATGTTCAGTTGATACTGATTTTTTAACTAATTATAGCTCTGGTGAACTGTTGAAATTACTCCATACTGCTTTTCGGTTCTCGAAAATTCTCGGTAGTGAACGGAAATCGCCGATTGCTTCCCAGTGAGAAAAATCCTCCGACATGTCAGATATGTTACTTAATGTTGACTTTATTGGTTGTTGTTTGTTTAAATGTTTACTGCGTTTACATGTTGTGTTGTAAAAAGATGTGTTTACGGTAATTTCTCCGATCGCTGACTGCCGACGTCATATCATTTATGTGTTGCTGCGATCATACAGTGAGCTCTCGAGCTCCTCCCGAGGTAAGCAGTCCCACTCGTTTACATCCCTTCACCTCCCACACGACGAACCACTGGGAGGTTTGATGATGTTTCAAGAATAGGACCGGGAATAGCTTCGTGCAAAAATCATTGGTGAGCTGTATGATTGCCTTGGCTACGATATCCTCGGTTCTGGCAGAGGGTTTCGTTCGCGCTTTTGTTGAGCCACCTATTGGTAAACATCCGGGATTCGATTTTCCGTGCCGTGCCTGGCAACACGTTAGCATCCCACCTTAATAAAGAAGATACTATGTCCTTTCCGCACAAGAGTCTAACAAGGGCATTTAGGTATCACAAGAACGCAAAGCTACGGACAAAGTGGTTTACCTCAGGCTGGATTCGAACCCACCCACACTCATTTTTTCGAAAAATATACCTATGCTGTGCATTTCCAAGTTGCTACAAGCGCTCCTAAATGGAAACAGACCAAATCAGAACAAGAACATCTCATCCTGTCCGAGCCCGCACGTTAAAGTTGGTCTCGGCCAGTACTTGTATCGGAAATCGGTCGGCAGTCTTCGATGTATTAAGATGGATGCAATATAACACATTTGAGAATAGTAAAATATTGTTCCCTCTTGAGAAGTACAATAAAACTTCTTATTCATATCTGTGCAAGACATTATTAGGAAATGTAAAGCACTACAACACATCATTCGTTGGCGGAGCCTTTGAACTGTAACTGCGGAGTGTGGAATTCAATAGGAAAGGAATGGCGGAAGTCGCAAGATGGAGCGAAGGTGTAATTCCCATCCTCCGTTCGATTGGTCCCAACAAATCAATTGAGTAGCCAATACGTGGCCCAGACAAAGCAGCACACACCCAGTTGATCTGCCATTCCATGACCACCCATCGAGCAGTAAACCTCGACAATCTGCACCCACCATTCCCCACCCAGCCTTCTTTTCTCTGCCCCCTCTCTTCAACAGACCCCCAGACTAGAAAAGTTGTACAATATACGGTACACTTAGTAGAAGGGTGGTGAAGAGTTTTTTTTTGCGTGGGTGGTGTACGGGTTTTTCCAGTATGGACCCATCCGAAAGCCGAGCAGGCGATAAGCGAAGCCAGTTTGAAACCGGTTGAAAAAAGTCCGAAACCGGGTGAAGCCGGTGCTCTGGCATCGGGTGAAGCTTGGGTAGTGGCACCGGGTGAAGCTGGGCTTGGGACTTTGTTTTGGTAGAGCGCTTCTACGAGGAAAAGCTGAGCGAATTACAAGGAAGAGCGAAAAAAGCTGAAAATTCGGGCTCATGGAAGCCGTATGGTGCCGTTTGTGAAAACCGAAATCCTCCGAAAGCTAAATCAACGACAGGTACATCGAGGAGCAGACCTTGATATTCTGCATCCCCCTTCTTCTACAAACTTTTTTCTTTGTGCCCTCTCTCGGAAAGACCTCCCAGGTGGGTAATTAGCTAAAATATACGGTACACATGTTAGTAGGGTTCGGAGGAGGCCTTTGGTGGGTGGGTGGGGTGCAGCGCTTACCGA